ATATGAGTCATGAATATTCATATTATTTGAATAATATTTTATGATGGATTTAGGATATGGTGGTTGATTTGGTTAATTTGTGAGATATGGATATTTTTAAATAATTCTAAAAGTGATGTCCATAAGTGTGTCATTTTGTTTGTGTCCTCCGTATGGTATACACATGCAGGTCAGAGACAAAGGGTACTGAACCAAAATTATGCTTATGTCATAGTGGAAACCAATTAAATTTTCTTGAAAACTTCATTATCCAAAATAACTAATAGTTTCACTATGTTTCCAAAGTGCACCGAAATTCTTGGTCCTTTGTCTGTTTAATATATTCAACAAACATTCGGCGTATCCCTTCTAATCACGATTCCCCTCCAGGCAGTACGTCCAATGCCGAGTGCTATCTATAAATGTCAATTTTTATCCCCCACGTCGCCACATCTAATGCTACACATGTACGTGATCCACCGCGTTATGTAAAAGATCCCCATTCAAAACTTGACCTGCGTTGTCACACGGCCCAGATTATCAACAGGAGCAGACAGCTAGTCGCCACATCACCAACAACTATGTTGACGATGAAACATCGCCGTCCGACTTTCTGCATCTCTGTAAGTGACAGATCTGGTCTGCGCACCATCACAATCTGTTTCGACCATTATTCACATACACTGTACCAACAAAACACTTCTACTGTCGTCTTAAACTTCACCCGTGAGTTTTGTCTTCTTTTGATTCTATTCCAGATATGAGTTGTAACACGTTCTCGTGTTTTATCAGGTGAACAGTTGACTTCCCTTTGCATGTATTTGTGACAGAATCAACAGATGGTGCAGGATACGCTCAGCTGGTATAATCCCTTTTGATTGTTCTTCATAAACACATGCTTAGGATAAAGTCGGAATCCTGCAATCTACTCTGTTTTAGCATATTTTCTTATGACTAGGGAAATGGTTTTATCGGTTTAATTCCATCGGACGATTGAGGTTCCAACTGGCGGCCTACCGATGCCTCAACAAACTTAGAGATTGTATAACTCCCATGTCATCGATATGGCAATGGTCAGGAAAAGCCTTCATCGTTTGCCAAACCCTGTGTCGTCGTTTTTCCATTTACTTCATACTTCTTAGTTATATTAGTTATTTAGTTTGGGTTGTGTGCATCACTCGCGCAGACCAAATTGAGAACCACGAGATTCCTATCACGTACGTCAAAACATCGATGATGCTTTCAATACTCCGGTATGTTTATCCCCCCTGCTCTGATTGACATAATGCTCATCGTGCATCTGTTGTTCATATTTCCTTGATGTAAAGAGATGTTTTTCAATGTAGCCATAGAAATGGGAGGTTTTGCAAACACACTGGTATTGATTAATAGCTCGTGCCCTATAGTATAACGGCATTTGTTGCCGTGCTTTTTCAAGAAGCCAAGAGGGAAGTGAGGTGAGTAAGTGAGTGAGTGAGTGGGTGAGGTGAAATGGAGAATAACAACAAGACCATTGCACTTAGTTTAAGATGCACGCGCGCAAGTGTGTGTGGCTGCTCGTACTGGTGGAGACGGTTTTATAGTGCTAGCACACAATCACACACACACGCACGTACGTACGCACGCACACACACATAAAAGATTACAAGCTAGAGCTGAGTACAATGGCGGCTACAAAATCTTTACCAGTTCGGTGTTTAACTCGAGCAAGTAAATACATTGTTGCATGATCTAAACTATATGTACTCCTATTTGGAGGCAAGTGTCTTTGGAAGTGAATCATGGTGGGTTTGTTGTCACGGTGCATGCTTTTTGTTGAAGCATTGTAAGTGCATTGAAGATTTAGATCAGAGTCTATTACGAAATCACTGTGGGACAAACTATCAAAATCGTTTATTCAGACAGCACAGAGATACGGTTACCGCAGCAGCGTCCTTGAAGTGCACTTAACTGAACGCTAAAATGAAAAATATTGACAAATAGTGTCAGCTATGATTACAGTATCTAATGTCCATGTTTAGATTTCATTGTTGTTTGTTTGTTTGTTGTTTAACGCAATGTGACGGCGGTCTGTAAATAATCAAGTCTGGATCAGACAATCCAGTTATTGATATCATGAGCATCGATCCACGCAACTGGGATCGATGACATGCATCAACCAAGTCAGCGAGCCTGACCACCCTATCCCGTTAGTCGCCTCTTACAACAAGCAAACTCGCCTTTTAAGGCAAGCATGGGTTGCTGAAGACCTGTCCTACCCCGGATTTTCACGGGTCTGGTTTCATTGTTCTAGTTTGAATGAAGGACACACATCTGTATTTATTACTGGCTAAAAACTTCAGCGGAAAGAAAAAGCCTTTCGGAAACAGAACAATCATTACGACCACTCAATAGATAAAGAAACATCAACCTTTTCATTATCAAAAGCAGATTCTGTTGTACAATTCAGACTATTAAATATGCGCGTGTTTATGAACCACTATCAAATATTGATGGTACCAGGTGTTCGCGAATAGGTGAGCGTATCCTGCACCACCGGTGGCACCTGTCACAAATACATGCATGGACTGTCAATTGTTCATTTGAGAAAAAAACGGGAGCATATATTACAGGTGAAAATAGGGATTTGCATCGAAAACTAAATGACATCGGAGGACAAAACACCGAGGTGAAGTTCAAGACGATAGCAGACATGTTTATTGTTGGTGTGTGAATAATGGTCCAAACGGTATGATGGTAAGCGAGTGACAGTACGCACTCCAGGTTTGTTTCAATAGGTGAGGTGAGGTGAAATGGGGTTTAACGTCGCGTCCAAGATTATTGAACTTATATAGCGACGTCAGTGTGTGTGGCTGCTTGTACTAGTCCAGGCTGATGCCGATTTATAGTGCCAGCTTACTGAGATACCATGCCGCAGTGTAACATGAATACCCAACTCAGACACAGTATACTGACTCCGAGCCGACCAGTCCTTGTTTTAGCCCCTTAATGCCGAGCGCCAGACAGGGTAACAACAAGTACCATCTTTTAACGTCTTTTGATATGACGCGGCCGGGGATCGAACCCCGGACCTTCCGCTCTTCGGGCAGACGCTCTACCACTAGACCACGTAGGCGGTCCACTCCAGGACGATGGGCCAATGTCCATAGTGCGGAGACCCGCTCTGTCTCTTTCACACATGCAGAAAGTCGGTTGACGATTCTTCAACCATCGATGTAGTTGTTGGTGATGTGGCGGCCGTAGCAGACGCCGCGACTAGCCGTGGAATCTGTCTGTTCCTGTTGAAAATCTGGACGGATCTCTGTCTGACAACGTGGGTCAAGTTTTTACTGTAGCGTGTGTCATCGATCCCAATTGCGTGGATCGATGCTCATGATATCAATCACTGGATTGTCTGGTCCAGACTCGATTATTTACAGACTGCCATCATATAGCTGGAATATTGCTGACTGTGGCGTTAAACAACAAACCAACCAACCAACCAACCAACATAGCGTGGTGTGAGGTCGGTGTAAGGGTAATGTCCAGAGGGGGCTAAGAATTTGAAGGAAACGCCGGTTGATTACTGGACATATTGAAACAAAGGACAAAGATTTTCGGTGCACTTTGGAAACAAAGTGAAACAATTAGATATTTTGGATAATGAACTTTTAAAGAAAACTATTAAGTGGTTTCCATTATCACATAAACATAAATCCCATGTGTATACCATACAGATGATAGTGAGTGAGTGAGCGAACGCTTTAACCACTAGGCTACCCGACCGCCCCGCATAGAGAAGGTACACACATAACAATATAAATTATAACTGTGTGCATAGGTTATCGAATTGTGTGTACAGATTAAATTTCAAATTAACCACATCTAGAACTATATCATCATTCCATCACATAAGGTTAAACATTCAAATAAGGATAAATATTCATGACTGGGCAGCAAATAATAACAAAAGTTAAAATCTAACGTCGCATCGGCATTATTTCAGCGAGTAAAGACAAATATATATCATGACGCAATCAAAAAGTCAATAATGAACAACATCAATATTATGGACCCGAACCACACTGGTTCATGGTCTTGCTGCAGCAGTGAACTGCCATGTTTTAGTCCTGTGTAAAAATACTTTACAGACATTATTACATCAAGCCCACACATTAACATCCGGTTTCAGCAGCCCCGTGCTCGTCCTAAGAGGCAATGAACCCCGTGATGATCAGGCCAGCTCGGCTGACACATGCCATCGTATCCCATGTTCGTAGATCGATGCGCATGATGTCAGTCACTAGATCGCCTGGTTCAGACTTGATATAATATCCGTGTTTATTTATATTAAAACGAGGTGCATTCTTCATATCTACTAATTCCATATTTCAGATATTATTATTATACACTATTCTGGAACCCCGTGAAGATCCAGGTTGGAAATGGTCTTAGCTACCCATGCTTGTCATAAGGGTCAACTCAACTAACGGGATCGGGCGACTTGGTTGATGCATATCACCGAATCCCAATTACGTAGATCGATGTTAATGATGTCCATATTCCAGGTTGTCGATTATGTACGGTCCGACGTCACATAGCTGGAATACTGCTGAGTTTGGCGATAACCCACAAAGAAAGACTATTCCTGATAGTGAATTGTAGAACTATCACTTTCTCTTCTTCCTTACAGAACTAACTTTCATGAACTGAGTTGCGTCCCTTGGGCACGCCAGAAACCTATGATCGTGGGTTCGAATCCCGGTTCGCCCCGGTTATGTTTCTAGGTTTGTCAGCACCATACCCGTGCTCGTGGTAAACGTCTGAGACCTACATCACTTCGGGCTTTCCTCCCACAAGAAGCTGACACGCCGCGATATAACTGGAATACTGTTCAAACCGGCGTTAAACCCAATTCACTCACTCACTCATGAGCTGAGGACCAAACTGTTGTTAAACGATTTTGTGACCGTATTTTGTCCAACGTGAAAGCCACATATTGTGTAAACTAACGTACTGTATAACAAATTTGCTTGACCTTTTCCAATCTTTATTATCACAACACATAAATTCAATTCACATTTCAGGACACGAATGATTATATTATATTTCCCGCATTAAATACCGTTTTACAATAGTAAGGTGTTCGGAATTTGCCCTGATAGAGCATGTAATACCAGTGTAAATACATCTGCAATTATTACCCCCTTGACAAATATAGAACCAGGCGACTGAATTGCAAATAAAACAGGATGTCATACAAATGTCAACAACATTTCCAAATATCATGTCAAGTTGACTAAAACATGCAAACTTTGCAAATCATGTGTGTACATTACCATTGACTTGAGGTCTGTCAGCTCCTTAACTCGTTAACGAGTTTGTTCAATGTTTTAGATTCCAGTCCTGTGCCATTATTTGGACTCACGTGAATTTCCGACATACAGTAATGTTTCATCGATTTATCCCTGTAGTCATGCATCATTTAATAATTTACGCGTGGAGCTTGAGAACATTCCTTGCAGTGAATAAAAGCAACAAAATTCTTTCCATATTCGTAATTATTATGAAACGCCTACGCCAAAGAATATCTCCATTATCCCCCGAAACAGATTTTATGGGAGTAAAAGGCAACGTAGCGGGAATATTATAGGAACGGATCACCGAATATCAGTCATCGCGAAAAGGGAACATATGTCCTATCCTAGCGGTAGCACCCGTCACTCACACAATCTTACAAGCACATACAAGGAAAGTCACTTCTACATCTGGAAAATAAGGGAACATATATCCTGTCCTAGCGGTAGCACCCGTCACTCACACAATCTTACAAGCACATACAAGGAAAGTCACTTCTACATCTGGAAAAAAAGGAACATATGTCCTGTCCTAGCGGTAGCACCCGTCACTCACACAATGCAATCTTACAAACACATACAAGGAAAGTCACTTCTACATCTGGAAAATAAGGGAACATATATCCTGTCCTAGCGGTAGCACCCGTCACTCACACAATCTTACAAACACATACAAGGAAAGTCACTTCTACATCTGGAAAATAAGGGAACATATATCCTGTCCTAGCGGTAGCACCCGTCACTCACACAATCTTACAAGCACATACAAGGAAAGTCACTTCTACATCTGGAAAAAAAAGGAACATATGTCCTGTCCTAGCGGTAGGATCCGTCACTCACACAATCTTACAAGCACATACAAGGAAAGTCACTTCTACATCTGGAAAAAAAAGGAACATATGTCCTGTCCTAGCGGTAGCACCCGTCACTCACACAATCTTACAAGCACATACAAGGAAAGTCACTTCTACATCTGGAAAAAAAAGGAACATATATCCTGTCCTAGCGGTAGCACCCGTCACTCACACAATCTTACAAGCACATACAAGGAAAGTCACTTCTACATCTGGAAAATAAGGGAACATATATCCTGTCCTAGCGGAAGCACCCGTCACTCACACAATCTTACAAGCACATACAAGGAAAGTCACTTCTACATCTGGAAAAAAAGGAACATATGTCCTGTCCTAGCGGTAGCACCCGTCACTCACACAATCTTACAAGCACATACAAGGAAAGTCACTTCTAAATCTGGAAAAAAAAGGAACATATGTCCTGTCCTACCGGTAGCACCCGTCACTCACACAATCTTACAAACACATAAAAGGAAAGTCACTTCTACATCTGGAAAATAAGGGAACATATATCCTGTCCTAGCGGTAGCACCCGTCACTCACACAATCTTACAAGCACATACAAGGAAAGTCACTTCTACATCTGGAAAAAAAGGAAACATATGTCCTGTCCTAGCGGTAACACCCGTCACTCACACAATCTTACAAGCACATACAAGGAAAGTCACTTCTACATCTGGAAAATAAGGGAACATATATCCTGTCCTAGCGGTAGCACCCGTCACTCACACAATCTTACAAGCACATACAAGGAAAGTCACTTCTACATCTGGAAAAAAAGGAAACATATGTCCTGTCCTAGCGGTAGCACCCGTCACTCACACAATCTTACAAGCACATACAAGGAAAGTCACTTCTACATCTGGAAAATAAGGGAACATATATCCTGTCCTAGCGGTAGCACCCGTCACTCACACAATCTTACAAGCACATACAAGGAAAGTCACTTCTACATCTGGAAAATAAGGGAACATATATCCTGTCCTAGCGGTAGCACCCGTCACTCACACAATCTTACAAACACATACAAGGAAAGTCACTTCTACATCTGGAAAATAAGGGAACATATATCCTGTCCTAGCGGTAGCACCCGTCACTCACACAATCTTACAAGCACATACAAGGAAAGTCACTTCTACATCTGGAAAAAAAAGGAACATATATCCTGTCCTAGCGGTAGCACCCGTCACTCACACAATCTTACAAGCACAAACAAGGAAAGTCACTTCTACATCTGGAAAAAAAAGGAACATATATCCTGTCCTAGCGGTAGCACCCGTCACTCACACAATCTTACAAGCACATACAAGGAAAGTCACTTCTACATCTGGAAAAAAAGGAACATATGTCCTGTCCTAGCGGTAGCACCCGTCACTCACACAATCTTACAAGCACATACAAGGAAAGTCACTTCTACATGTGGAAAAAAAGGAACATATATCCTGTCCTAGCGGTAGCACCCGTCACTCACACAATCTTACAAACACATACAAGGAAAGTCACTTCTACATCTGGAAAATAAGGGAACATATATCCTGTCCTAGCGGTAGCACCCGTCACTCACACAATCTTACAAGCACATACAAGGAAAGTCACTTCTACATCTGGAAAATAAGGGAACATATATCCTGTCCTAGCGGTAGCACCCGTCACTCACACAATCTTACAAGCACATACAAGGAAAGTCACTTCTACATCTGGAAAAAAAAGAACATATGTCCTGTCCTAGCGGTAGCACCCGTCACTCACACAATCTTACAAGCACATACAAGGAAAGTCACTTCTACATCTGGAAAAAAAAGGAACATATATCCTGTCCTAGCGGTAGCACCCGTCACTCACACAATCTTACAAGCACATACAAGGAAAGTCACTTCTACATCTGGAAAATAAGGGAACATATATCCTGTCCTAGCGGTAGCACCCGTCACTCACACAATCTTACAAGCACATACAAATAAAGTCACTTCTACATCTGGAAAAAAAGGAACATATGTCCTGTCCTAGCGGTAGCACCCGTCACTCACACAATCTTACAAGCACATACAAGGAAAGTCACTTCTACATCTGGAAAAAAAAGGAACATATATCCTGTCCTAGCGGTAGCACCCGTCACTCACACAATCTTACAAGCACATACAAGGAAAGTCACTTCTACATCTGGAAAATAAGGGAACATATATCCTGTCCTAGCGGTAGCACCCGTCACTCACACAATCTTACAAGCACATACAAATAAAGTCACTTCTACATCTGGAAAAAAAGGAACATATGTCCTGTCCTAGCGGTAGCACCCGTCACTCACACAATCTTACAAGCACATACAAGGAAAGTCACTTCTAAATCTGGAAAAAAAGGAACATATATCCTGTCCTAGCGGTAGCACCCGTCACTCACACAATCTTACAAACACATAAAAGGAAAGTCACTTCTACATCTGGAAAAAAAAGGAACATATGTCCTGTCCTAGCGGTAGCATCCGTCACTCACGCAATCTTACAAGCACATAAAAGGAAAGTCACTTCTACATCTGGAAAATAAGGGAACATATATCCTGTCCTAGCGGTAGCATCCGTCACTCACACAATCTTACAAGCACATACAAGGAAAGTCACTTCTACATCTGGAAAATAAGGGAACATATATCCTGTCCTAGCGGTAGCACCCGTCACTCACAGAATCTTACAAACACATAAAAGGAAAGTCACTTCTACATCTGGAAAAAAAAGGAACATATGTCCTGTCCTAGCGGTAGCATCCGTCACTCACGCAATCTTACAAGCACATAAAAGGAAAGTCACTTCTACATCTGGAAAATAAGGGAACATATATCCTGTCCTAGCGGTAGCATCCGTCACTCACACAATCTTACAAGCACATACAAGGAAAGTCACGTCTACATCTGGAAAATAAGGGAACATATATCCTGTCCTAGCGGTAGCACCCGTCACTCACACAATCTTACAAGCACATACAAGGAAAGTCACTTCTACATCTGGAAAAAAAGGGAACATATATCCTGTCCTAGCGGTAGCACCCGTCACTCACACAATCTTACAAGCACATACAAGGAAAGTCACTTCTACATCTGGAAAATAAGGGAACATATATCCTGTCCTACCGGTAGCACCCGTCACTCACACAATCTTACAAGCACATACAAGGAAAGTCACTTCTACATCTGGAAAATAAGGGAACATATATCCTGTCCTAGCGGTAGCACCCGTCACTCACACAATCTTACAAACACATAAAAGGAAAGTCACTTCTACATCTGGAAAATAAGGGAACATATATCCTGTCCTAGCGGAAGCATCCGTCACTCACACAATCTTACAAACACATAAAAGGAAAGTGATTTCTACATCTGGAAAATAAGGGAACATATATCCTGTCCTAGCGGTAGCACCCGTCACTCACACAATCTTACAAACACATAAAAGGAAAGTCACTTCTACATCTGGAAAAAAAGGAAACATATGTCCTGTCCTAGCGGTAGCACCCGTCACTCACACAATCTTACAAGCACATACAAGGAAAGTCACTTCTACATCTGGAAAATTAGGGAACATATATCCTGTCCTACCGGTAGCACCCGTCACTCACACAATCTTACAAACACATAAAAGGAAAGTCACTTCTACATCTGGAAAATAAGGGAACATATATCCTGTCCTAGCGGTAGCATCCGTCACTCACACAATCTTACAAACACATAAAAGGAAAGTCATTTCTACATCTGGAAAATAAGGGAACATATATCCTGTCCTAGCGGTAGCACCCGTCACTCACACAATCTTACAAACACATAAAAGGAAAGTCACTTCTACATCTGGAAAATAAGGGAACATATATCCTGTCCTATCGGTAGCATCCGTCACTCACAGAATCTTACAAACACATAAAAGGAAAGTCACTTCTACATCTGGGAAAAAAGGGAACATATATCCTGTCCTAGCGGTAGCACCCGTCACTCACACAATCTTACAAACACATAAAAGGAAAGTCACTTCTACATCTGGGAAAAAAGGGAACATATATCCTGTCCTAGCGGTAGCACCCGTCACTCACACAATCTTACAAACACATAAAAGGAAAGTCACTTCTACATCTGGAAAATAAGGGAACATATATCCTGTCCTAGCGGTAGCACCCGTCACTCACACAATCTTACAAACACATAAAAGGAAAGTCACTTCTACATCTGGGAAAAAAGGGAACATATATCCTGTCCTAGCGGTAGCACCCGTCACTCACACAATCTTACAAACACATAAAAGGAAAGTCACTTCTACATCTGGAAATTAAGGGAACATATATCCTGTCCTAGCGGTAGCACCCGTCACTCACACAATCTTACAAACACATAAAAGGAAAGTCACTTCTACATCTGGAAAATAAGGGAACATATATCCTGTCCTAGCGGTAGCACCCGTCACTCACAGAATCTTACAAGCACATACAAGGAAAGTCACTTCTACATCTGGAAAATAAGGGAACATATATCCTGTCCTAGCGGTAGCACCCGTCACTCACACAATCTTACAAACACATAAAAGGAAAGTCACTTCTACATCTGGAAAATAAGGGAACATATGTCCTGTCCTAGCGGTAGCATTCGTCACTCACACGATCTTACAAACACATACAAGGAAAGTCACTTCTACATCTGGAAAATAAGGGAACATATGTCCTGTCCTAGCGGTAGCACCCGTCACTCACACAATCTTACAAACACATAAAAGGAAAGTCACTTCTACATCTGGAAAATAAGGGAACATATGTCCTGTCCTAGCGGTAGCATCCGTCACTCACACGATCTTACAAACACATAAAAGGAAAGTCACTTCTACATCTGGAAAATAAGGGAACATATGTCCTGTCCTAGCGGTAGCATCCGTCACTCACACGATCTTACAAACACATAAAAGGAAAGTCACTTCTACATCTGGAACAATAAGGGGACATATCACTCAAGCCAAAATCGGGAATTGCACCGGACATCATTTTGGCCACTGATACCACATATTGAGAAATGTTCTCCACATGTCTACAATAAACCTTTATGAACACCGAGGCCTTAAACTTGTACCAATGTGTAATTTATTCAAGCTCAGATACATGCTTTTTGTACACTGAAATCATACAGAAACTTTGCTGGGATTTTGCTGTTGAAAAATGTACGTTTTTTCCATGTTCTGTGTTGAACCATGAACATACACTGTTTAAGGTATATTATACTTTTAACTGTCTGTGATGCAGTCGAATGAGCGAATAATCAATGGACAATAACTCCCATGTAAATAAAAGTAAACAATTATTCAAATATAAAGTCACAGCTATCGCAGACACGGAGTGCCACATGTGAATCTTTCGATTAAAATCGAAAGAATAATACGGTTCGATTCCCTACATAAGTACTGCATGTGAAGCCCATTTTTAATGTGGATATTGCTGGATTATTGCTATCAGCGGTGTAAAATCATACTCACACATTCCCTCCCTATATTTCAAAAGATATGATCAAGCATTTATTATGCTTTTTGGCATAGAATATGAAAAGTATTAAGAAGGATATGTCTTGAGGAGTAGAATGTCTGGTATGGTGCAACACCAGTTACTGATACGTTTTAACTGAAGAAGCATAGCAAACTAGGGAACACTGGACGATAAGACCCTTTTTAAAAACAAGTTCAATCATTGTTTAAGCGATATTTCAGGATACGCTCGATTACTAGTATACTACTCAAAAGAACTTTAGGATCAGCAGATTCTTTCAAATTACTATTGTTAATCTGTAATGGTATGAAAGATAAACTATAGTAATAGTAAATAATTGGGTGATCCTTAACTTCTTTTGAGTAGTATATTATGGCTTATCTGCTACTCCAAAGAAGTTAAAGAACACCCGATTCTTTCATATTACCTTTGTTAATCTGTCATGGGACTTTCTTATACCAGAGAAGAGTAATGTATACTATGGCATGACATGACAGATTAACTATAGCGATATCAAAGAATCGGGTGTTCTTTTACTGTTTTTGAATAGTATAGTTTAACCTGATTTACCGAAGCCATGAAGATGTCATGAAATGTGACTGTAACTAACAGTAACATTCATGTGTTCATTTTCATAGAATAGTCAATCAATCTTGGTTTATTTGGTAGTTTAGGAAACGTTCAATTCCTAAAATCGTGATGGCTACTGTAATTCCTGATACACACATTGTCCAGGCACTCCGCATGTTACTCATGTCAACCTTCGTCATTGCAGGTACATCTTCCTCCCGTTTTGTGCTGGACCATTTTCTTGCCCAGGCTTCCAGCATGCCGTTATCATATAGACGCATAAGTCTGGAACAGTAAGGTGTAGTATTTATAGTACTACTGCTTAAGACTTGTCTTTTGAGACTGTTTGCGGTTATGGGGGTATAAACGTAAATAACAGTAATTTATTTGATCATAAACACAAACAAATATCGACAACAATAATTACAATCAGTGACATCGTTCAGCGCAATCAATCAATCAATCAATCAATCAGGAAACACTTGTGCGTTAGTTGACGCGGTCTAATTTCTTTTCAGGTTATGGAAACATAAACGTCAAATAAATTGTAGGTTAGCCGATCAAATGCTGCAGAATCACTTGCAATTTATTTATGAATTGATACCAATAACCTCTTTAATAAAAAAATAATTACATGTTAATCTTTCTTTCAGAAGGGATTGTGTTCACTCGAGTACATTAACATATATTGTACAATTTGAAACAAATATTGAATCAAAGCATATATTCCTTAATGGGATAAATTTCTTTCGCCTTAGACTGTCATTTAAACATGAAACATGCGTTTTTAGTACTTACTTGTCTGAAAATAACTCCGCAAGGGGTGAATTGGCAGGAAAGGGTAGGCTTAGAAAATATGGACCAATACTACATTTCATCTTTCGGAGGTTAAAAACCATCTTTTCTATACCATTAGTCTCGGTTGAACCGGTAATGTATGCGTAGTAGCTAGACTGTAGGAGCATCTTAATGTGAAGATCCTCGTCCAGAGAGTTTCGGATATCTGCAGATCGGGCGTCCAACACTTTCGTCCAGATTTTCTTGCTCACACTATCATTAGAATACTGAAAAGCAATACAAAACACATCTTTTTAGAAATCAGTTGATAGAAGTACGTTGGGAATATGGGTAGTAGCTTATTAGCTCATTCCTGACATCAAATATGATTTACAAACGTCATTTAAGTAGTAAATGTTTGGGGTATTGCTAATCACTTACATCAGACAAAAGTTTCAGTCCATGACCTATTTCGATGTTTACCCTTCTCTACAATACAAGGGGACCTGGGGGAAGCAAAAGGACATTACAATTCAACAGTTTACATTGCAATCATGCAACCTACCTTGTAGATATCTACATAAGATGTGCCTTTAGCAATGATAATCTTGAAGTCGTCATTTTCTGCAAGCTCTTTTATCGTATTGAAGGGTATGTTTTCTTTTACCACTGATATAATTGCAACCAGATTACCCGTGTAAACTGCGACAATGATGATGCAAAACCACACCCAGCTTGTGTAGAATATGCGTCCTGAACTGGCCCGTGGGAGATGCAGCGAACCTGTGGATATTAAGCGCACTACACAAGGGAAGTTAACGAAATCCCAATGCTTTCATTTTACAGTAATTTGCAATAGTTCATCATTCGAACAAGAGTTACCTCCCTCTGAACAAAATGCCCTGTAGTTTACGTTACAATGCCGTAATACAATATGGCCAGTCCCAGCAGTAGTAGTAAGATTAAAACAAAATGTATTATTGTGTTTAAAAATATCAAACTAATAACATCCTTGAGGTCAAAACCTTATTATCATCAAGGATATTATGATTTGACTTATTGGCCGAACAACGTAATGTGGTGATTGGAGTTATAGCACTCAGTTGTAGTAGATGTGGGTTAATGAAATTTATACCAGTTATTTTGTCCCCCAAAACATCTTAATCGATTAATTGTGGACCACATTCCCGACTACTGGAGAGGCATTAAGGAATGATAAATACTACAACGTTAGACCAACGATAATATAAACTCCCTGGACCAAAGTTGACAGCCAATGTTGTCCTGAATCTGAATGACAGCTGAGTACCTTGACGTAGCGGCACAAGAACGGCCGTCATGACACTGTCTGATGTTGATGGTGGACATGCAGGAATCTCCCCGGCCTCGAAATGCTCTCCAACACTGTATCGTTCCAGCAATGTATAGAGTCCTATGCACCATGCCATCGTCAGCAGTCCGCATACATACACTTCCCATTTAAAAACAGACACCAACAACATCCAGTGGTTATCATTATTTGACAGTTTCTTATGGACTACCTCACATTCGTATTGGTACATGATATAAGAAAATGCAAAGGCCTTGGATCTTTTAAGGGTGATTCCATAAGGTATGCCCGAAAGATCGATACCCTGAAAAAAGACAGACAAGGTGGAAATGGCTTTATGTGTAATTTTCCAATGGATCTACGTTTGCAAACAGTTCGACACAATATATTCTCTCCTTACATTTCGTGCTACCATGCCAAGAAGACCGTTCCATGTTTCGGACAATTCACCCCAAGACTTGTCCGGTGGTTCGATCAGTTCATATCTGAAGTGAAAGTGAAACATGTTGGTCATAGAACATATCAGGCTCTTCATTTCTTCACAACACGCATCATGAATGTGAGTTGTAGGGGACAGACATTACATATGATACTATTATCTTTGAAATATGACACTAGATTGGCGTAGTTAAGAAATTGTTCTTAAGAATGTATGGACAAATTATCAATAGTAAACTTTATACTTATATAAATAAGGGGGAGTTTATTGTTATACGTACGTAAAATTGAGATATTCGGCAAGGCTGTCGAATAAATCCTTGCAAACATGAGTGTACACAATGGAGCCATTTGTTGAACAATCTGATTTCTTGCAAAAGTTTTGCCACTGCAGAAACAAGTTTTATCACGAGAATAATTATCTTTTAACATTCATTAGTTATGTTTATGTTTAAGCCAAATGCATAAGAGATATTATGTATGGCTTCAGTGAGCAATATTGAAATTATTCATGTGAATCAGTTTTACTGAAACCTAAGTCTTTAATTGAAATACGTACGTGTTGATTTCTTTAGAAAGATAGTTTCAAATTCTTTTTAAATATCATCACGACTGTCAAATATAGGTTTGTCATTACTCTATTATGTGATATAAATTATCAAAAAGCGTTTCAAATATCTGCATGTTGCTGTAGTTATTTACCTCCAAGATGCCAATTTTTAGTTTTCTTCCGTTCAACATGTATGCCGTATTGGGGAAAAGAGGAGAAATGAAGGCGGGGTATGTGCCCCCATTATTTGTTAAGTCACCGATTTGCGACCATTTCCGGCTGTTGGACTTCCACAAGAGAGTGCTGATTTTCACATCTGAGCGACCAGATATGTTCTTTTCCTAAAAACGATTGAAACAAACCACTTTAGGAGCTACACTTATATTCAGTGTAATAATCATATTGAGTCAATACTGACAATGGTTTCAAACATTTTGGACACGTTGGGTGTCAGTTGATTTTAACGTCTCAACGGATATATGCTGTTGCTGATTACCTTGACTGCTACCGCTATGTTGTCCAGATCAGCATATACTTCTGTTAATGGCGGGTCCACATTCAGGAAGAACCATTTCGAAAAATGACGTAGCAGTGTTCCTTGTCCGCTTTCCTTGTCTTTTTTGGAGGACTTTTGAAGATAGAACAAATCATTAATAAACATTATGATAACGTTGGTACGTTGGGATGGAAAGACAAGCTTTACTTAGAAACGGTCAAACCTATATGAAATGAATATCTCAGATATGTGTTCCTTGTCCGCATTCCTTGTCTTTTCTCGAAGACTTTCGCAGATACAACAAATCATTAATACACATGATGATAGCGTTTTGTATGTTGTGATAAAAAAACAAGCTTTCCTTAGAAATAGCCTGTTGAACTCACAGGTGAAACCAGTATTTCTACCAAACGAATATCTGAAATACGTGTATTAGGTTTGTAAAACGTACGATATGTGTGATGCGTGGCAAGCAGTTGTTGATACCATCACAAAAGACGACAAAGTTGAATAATTTGCGATAAATGTTGATTTTGTTCTTCGGGAGAGTTTCCTCAATCACGTCGGTCAGACTCTGTTCAAAGGCATGCACATGGATGAACAGTGCAGTCACACCATGCTGTGTAGTCCAGTCTTCAATAGTGTCATATATGTTTCTTCCTGTTTAGAAATGAAAACGTGAAATAATATCAGGAACACTATAAGATGTCGAGTAGGCAAATTTGTCTTGATTGTGAACGCAAAAAAACATAATCACAGACCACAGATTCAACGATGTCTGGCAAATACATTCCTTGAATTTGAAGAAGTAAAGGAAGATTTACTTACCTATTGATGAATGACTAACAAAAATCAAAGATGAACCCGGATGGAGAGACATCTTGCTTAATAGGTGATGTAGTTCATTTTTTCCAAGTATTATTCTGGAAGGTGCTGTTTAATAAATTTTAAGATGAAATCCATTACGCACATTTGTACCTTGAAATATGTAATCACAATGTATACATCTAGTGAAAATGAGTGAGTGAATTGGATTTTACACCGCTTTTAGCTTTCTCCCAGCAAAAGCAGAGTGGATGTATTTAGCGTGAATATCATAAGGGTAGTCATATCCGTATTAACAAACTTGAAAGTGCCAAATGTAGGAACCAACGAATGTACACTCAAGAATCGTATCTATGTTTTCTATTATTAATGATACATATCACATAGTTTCTCTGTCTACCATGTTCCCAGACACATCCCTCGCGGCATGTTGTACATTGCAGATAATGGTTTGATTTACACGATTACTCATATAGAAAACATGCACTTACTAAGATTATAACTACATGTATATTTCAAATGTGCGGGAAGCGTCACGACGAAGGCCCGTTTTCCATTCCCGACATGGGTACAATGTGTGGAGCCCATTTCGGGTGTCCCCGTCGTGATATTGCTGAAACATTGCTGAAAGCGGCTTAAAACAGTTCTACTCACTCAAATTTCAGATGGGAAAAACAACAGCTGGCATTAAGAGAGATTGCAGGAGAAGGTTTATATTACAAGACTGCAGGGTGAAGAAAATCTTTATTAAAAGCTGCTACTGTAATCAGTCTTTTATGACTATTGTAATGTATCTACAGATCAAGATGAGTAAAATATTGACTACATTGTCGATTAAATATACTTCATCAATCTTGGGTATCATAAAATCATTTAACAGTAATCCCTGTACCAACGTGGTGTGATTCATGTACAGACACAATGCGCCAAACTAATGCAGTGTAATATTAGTGACAATATACAAAATATTATGAAACTGATTTCCCACAAACAACATATTAAAAAATTGATTTTCTACAAACCTGTCAAGTTCCCGAAACGAGTACAGGACGAACCAACGAAAATCACCATATGACCAACTACATATATGTACAAGCTTATAACGTCCATGACTGTGGACGTTTATATACCATTTAACTGTAATCCCTATACCGTCGTCCCACTGTCGACTTACTGAAGGAGATGAAGGAAAAGTTGGGTTAATTAGATGCTATTATCATTTAAGTTGTGTGTTTTATGTACATGGATGGCTGGGTAAATATGCATCCCTGTAAGCTACATCTGATCGATCTGAGAGAGAAGTCAGCAAACTCTACATTCGTGGCGAGCTGGTTCAGGCGTTCAATACTGCATTTTCCTGTGTTTGGAATCTCTTGCATAAAATAGAAAGCAGTCCGTGTTCTATCGTTACTGAGTGTGTAATGCATAGATCAGAAAACGACACATATTTTTAGTTTAAATTGTAGGTGTACACAGATTCATGTGACGCCAGAATCCATACAGATCAATCGATAAATAACAGGTGTTTTTAACTGCAGGCATATTTTAAATATTTGAAATGTATAAAATCAAACAATCAATATCATGGCATGCGTCAGCATAATGAGGTTAAAATATTTTATCATATGATGGTCTTAGGTCTTTGTTTATCTAGCTCTGTGGATAGGTTATTTTAAAGATCAAATAGATAAATCAGCTTTTACAAAGACCAGAATCAAATAACACGTCGTTAGAATGGTATCATACAGTATAGAACCGTACAAAGACAAATACTATGTTTTAGGATCAAAAGAACTGCATACATATTTTACTATACCACCAGCGTTCGAAGCTTTAGCATCCGTTATAATCGCAGGATTAAATATTTAAAAAAACGAAACAAAATTTGCTTTCCTATAAAAAATCATACTGAATGCAGATAGATGCTCTTATGCTATAAACATTAACGTAATCGTCGTAGTCATTCACTGTTCAACGAACCTGCATTTATTCAAGGAAACTGGCAAACCAGTGTTATGAGTCCCTGTATATCCACGAGAGAGAGAGAGAGAGAGAGAGAGAGAGAGAGAGAGAGAGAGAGAGAGAGAGAGAGAGAGAGAGAGAGAGAGAGAGGGTAAACAACCACGGAAGCTGATAGTGATGAGTGGAAGCCAGTGAATTAGAAGCCAGTGAATTGTCTAATGGACACAGAGTCAGCAAGCAGACTGATAGAGATGATTGGATGGACATAGGGATTTAGCAGTTAGGTGATGGTAAGCAGGCGGGATGTAGTAGCCTTGATTCGTAGTCGTAGTCATTCACTGTTCAACGAACCTGCATTTATTTAAAGAAACTGGCAAACCAGTGTTATGAGTCTCTGTATAGCCACGAGAGAGAGAGAGAGAGAGAGAGAGAGAGAGAGAGAGAGAGAGAGAGAGAGAGAGAGAGTGTGTGTGTGTGTGTGTGTGTGTGTGTGTGTGTGTTGGAATTAACGGCCCTTGTACAGGATTCCACTTTTATCAAAGCCTGTCAGCCTAATGTTTGAGGAAAGCCCAAATTAATGCTGGTCTTAAACGATTACCAAATTTGGTGAAACCAAGGAGCAGGGATAAAAACATAATCGGGACGAACCGGGATTCGAACCCATGATCATAGGTACATGTATGATGCATATAAAACCTAACCACAGTGTATGTAGCTAAGGCAGAAGCTTCATTGCAATTTGTTCACCGGACTACAGCTTTATGTAAATCATCCGTGGCACGAGTAATTAAAAACAACGTGTTCGCATGGCGTTCTATTAGTACTATTTCATTTATTTGATTTGGATATACTTTTATTTATCATTGTTAGATAGCAGTATCAATAGGTTCATTGTCTGTTGAACACATGTGATATGGAGATAACTTGAGCACTACATTCCTTCTATTATTGTCGCCATGTGGTATACAATGTTGCCCGAATGTATGGCAAATCAAAAAATGTAATTTGTCGACTGTAGGACAAGTGAGGTCATACGGGCGGAGTTGCAATTAGACATGGGCGTGGCAAGCCTAAAATGACAACACCTAAACAAAATCGTCTCATTACCTTAATTTCACTTGGCTCTAGATTTATATCTGCTCCGGCGATCACTTGAGAATTACGTACAATAACAGGTGGACAAATTCCAACATCTACCACTAAAAGCCGGCTCTGTGCAGCCCGACCGAAAGCAATGCGCCCGGTGAAGGGGGTGACCCTAACAGCTTACCAAAGACTGAGGTTGGCTTCTCAACACCAGGGACGGGCTGTACGCAAATGGCGTTACACCACGTTTACAGACGAATGAAGGTTTATGCCTACGATTCGCAGATGGCAGAAACCGTTGCTGGCAACGTGGCGGCGAGCAGTATGCTAGGGCAACACTTCTATACCATGTTCGTCATAGGGTCGGAAGTGTCATGTAGTGGGGCGGTATCAGACATGACAGGCAAACTGATTTGGTTGTTGTGAATGGACATTTGACTGGCCAGCGATATGTTGAAGAAGTTGTGCGTCCTGTCGTTGTTCCATTGGCTAGAATTATCGGTAGAAATGTTGAACAGCAAAATGACAATGCCTGACCACATCGTGCACAGTTCGTCACCGATTATCTCCAACGAGAAGGCATACGGAGATGGGACTAGCCCGCTAAGTCCCCTGACATATCCCCAATGGAGCATTTGTGGGATGTTCTCGGGCGGAGAGTGAACGCCATAGACCCAGCACCCGCCAACGGGGCCCAGCTTGGGGTATGGCGGAAAGGCGGGCAATACCCAGGGCAACCATATGCAAGTTAATCAACAGCATACCATCAAGGTGATTTGCGTGTCTCCCTCGAAAATAATTTTACAGACAATTACCTTCATTACACCTGTCGTTTCATGATTGGATTCCGTTGTTCCGCTATGTCGGTAGTATATATATATATATGTATATATATATATATGTATGTATATGTATGTGTATATATATATATATATATATATATATATATATATACTACCGACATTTGCTCGTGTGGTGGTTTTGGGTATATATATATATATATATATATATATATATATATATATATATATATATATATATATATACAACCGACATAGCGGAACAACGGAATATATATATATATTGATTTGGCAATGAACTCTAACATGGTCCAGTGTCCTCAAAGGAGACTCAGAAACACTCTTTTCCTTTCCTCTTTGATCTTCAACACGTCCGATTTCGTCATCCCAACCATCAAACAGTGTCCTATGTACAATGTGAGTGTGAAATACAACGACCTGGAATTAGAGGCTTAACGCCAAATGAATCATGCACGGATGAAACTCACGACTTTTGTATTTCATAGTTCATATTTCATAGAGTAAATTGCTGACATTATAAAGCATTAAGTACTTGTCCATGGCCAGCAAATACACAATTCATATCACTTCCAACGTCCCTCATACACTGCATATATATATGCCAAAAGAGTCAAACACCCACATCCAACAAATCCTCAAACATAACATCAGTCTAGGAAAATCAAGCGCTCGCTCGCAAAAACCCACAGTTAACACCAATGTCACAACGCATACTAGATTATTTAAACTTACACAACCTAAACGACTTAAAACCAAACCAAACAGCATCTTCACACCCATACTTCAAACCCCAAAAATAGACAGAACACTCTCCTGGAAAATAAATAAGGCAACTGATCCAAACACCGCCAAAACCCCCACACGAGCCTTAACCTACCAATATCCAAAAACTAAATTAAGAGCATCACTTAGAATTTATTTTTCTCCAAAAGTGGCAAAACTCAAACTGCAAACTAAAACATGTGCTCCAAAAGCCACTCAAAAAAGTCAAGATTCATCATGAATCCAAAAACATTGACAGGGCAATAATTAAACTACACACATGTCACACAAGACTATACCATATCTACATAAGATAAAGAAACACAAAACAGGTAAATGCCCCCACTGCAACCAACTAGAAACACCAGAAAGCGTACTACTACACTGCACGCATTACAAACAACACTCCAAACCAAACTAGACTGCAACACTCAATGAACAGTAGCAACACTTCTTAATACGCAAAACGATACACAAACCTTCAAAGCATTAGATTCTATCCAAGTCTGATCTTCTTTGACAAAGAATGCATGAACTGGTTGAGTGACCTCCTCCCATCAGCGTGAAAGGATTACCCACAGAGGAGAAATAGATTTGAAATCTACATGCTGTTATGGATTCACTAACAACTTCCTCTAATTATACTCTGATACCCTTGTTGTCCCCTAATGATCGTGTAAACATATGCATGGTCACACCCTGTAATTGTTAACATCACATCCTATCTATAGTCAGGCAGTCTGTGTATGTTTCCAATTTCCTCTCATAGCTAGTGGTAATTGCACACATCCTGAGACGCCTCCAAACGTCCAATGTGTAATTCTTACAAAAAGTAATATTCTAAAGCAATTACATTTGATGTTGACGTATCCACTTATACCAGTAATAAGCTTACCACATACAGTGTCACAGAGAGGTTACTTTATGTAAAGTTCAAACTGCTGAGGATAAAATGCTAATGGGAGGAAGCCGCAATCTTTAGTCGGATATTAAATATTCGTTATGGAGATCTGAAACTGAAGTTCATTGTAATTTTCCGCAACTATGACCTACTGAACAGTTGAACTTCTTAATGCGGGGCGGTCAGGTAGCCTAGTGGTTAAAGCGTTCGCTCGTCACGCCGAAAACCCGGGCAGGGGATATTAATGCATATTTCAATACACATTCATGAAGATATCTCTCCTCGACCTTAAGGTCGTGATTCACAGTTTGCACGTGCACGCCCAATTTTGCTTCTACGTTACCGTGAGCAGTAGACAGCGTCTGAGTTTCAGAAGACAAGACTGGGACAGTATTCTGTTCTCAGATGAGTCCGGGTTTCATCAGGACAGCTATGGTGGTCGTGCAAGGTTCTCCAGGCGTCCAGGGAACGTTTTAGCTAGGCTTATGTTATTCAACGTCGAGGGGAAAATGCTATGGTATGGGGTGGCATCTCAACTTATAAGACAACTCATTTTGAATGGCGTACGATAACGGGACGACATCGTTCGAGATCATGTTCTACCCTTTGTGCAATGCATAGACGTAACGTCCCTTTGTAGAAGGATAATTCCCTCCCACACGTTCCACGTTTTGTAACAGACCTTTTTAGGCAGCATAACATTGCTCTACTGCCATGGCCGGCTGTTTTCTCCAAATGGACCGAGGCCTACGACAGGACCAGAACCACCTGGTAACTCTTGCACGTTTGGGCCAGTGTTTGGTTGACATTTATTTTCAATACGCCGCCACTGCCTCGTCTGTACCAACGCAATTTGTGGTCAGACCCGATATGGATATTGTTAATTGAGTTGTTACACCAGGTATGAGTTTTGTCAATAAATTTGCTCTGATATAACTGTAATGGTCATACACTTAAAGGTGTCTTCATTTTATGATGCTTCAGTTGGGTATCAAGGTAGACTATTTTCATTTTCTTAAGCCCAATAGGGTGCGCTTTGCCCCAGTCTATTTATAAATGCATGTAATCAAGGCATGTAAGGCATGCACAGAGCCACATGGCAGCTGGCTAGGTAGTCACATGATGTGATTAAAGTGGTCAACAACTAGGTAAATACAACAGCATTTTTACTAACATCTTTAGTTTTTCATGTATATAATTGTGATATTATGTATTTGAATTAATTACATTGCTTCTGGTAAATAACATTTTGTAATTACCATAAATTTCCTAATGTTTCCTAAAATCAATGCTCTTTTGCAAAGCAATGTTTTTGAGTATAGTTTATTTGTATTTACAATCTAGAGTAATGGTACTTTGCTTTATTTGCGGTCAATAATGAAGTAAAACGACATGAAATGACATGAATTGACATGAAATACTCCTGAAACACACATGAAGCAGAATAAAATAGACAGAAATCAAAAGATGGAATTGTTTTTATTTGAAAAGTATCAGTGTGATTTTTGAAGTGAATAAAAACATTGATCAGACGAATGACCAAATATTATATTTTCAGTAGCATAACATTTACAACTCTTTATTTTTGTCCGCCAGAAAAGATTATGATTTAGTTGGAATCGCAAATGGACGCAAATGCAGACATTTCTTTTGATTATGGAAATGGTTTCAGCTGTTAATGATACATATCTGGATATTAATACTTTTGGTACAGGTACAAAGTCTGTGACAAAGAGGGTCGACGGGGTAGTGGTAAAAGCATTCATCCATAGCTAATCCACTCACTCACTCACTTAACTGTAATCAACATCTAGGCAACTATTTATTGACCTACTTATTGACTGAAAATAGAATATTAACATCAGACCCTCTTCTCCAAAACGATTGCAAACCTATCAGGCTGGAGTGTAAGAAACATCTAAACGTCGCTCCTAATAGTAATAAAGAAGTTGTCCATCAATATATCGTATCCATGATTAGCATCATCGAGCCTGACCTCCTGATCCAGTTAGTCGCCTCTTAAGACAAGCATGGGTAGCTGAAGATCAATTCTAACCTGGAATTTCACAGGCCCAATGTACAGTATGCAAGACTAGGCCGATGGAACTGCTGGATGATTTCTTTCTATTTTTCCCATAATGGAACATTCCAAAGAATTTAGGAATAAACTATTTATTCACAAACTATCAGGCTAAAATTTTCAGCTTCATTCCCGGAAATATAAAACGGCAAGGCCAGAGAATAATCGATCATCCACTTAAACCGTGTAAAAGGCAAAATTAAAGTTTAAACTATATGAATGGATCACTGAAAATTTGGGATGACATAGATGTCCTACCCCACCGGAGCGACGTTTAGATGTAGTTTCTTACACTCCAGCCTGATAGGTTTGCAATCGTTTTGGAGAAGAGGGTCTGATGTTAATATTCTATTTTCAGTCAATAAGTAGGTCAATAAATAGTTGCCTAGATGTTGATTACAGTTAAGTGAGTGAGTGAGTGGATTAGCTATGGATGAATGCTTTTACCACTACCCCGTCGACCCTCTTTGTCACAGACTTTGTACCTGTACCAAAAGTATTAATATCCAGATATGTATCATTAACAGCTGAAACCATTTCCATAATCAAAAGAAATGTCTGCATTTGCGTCCATTTGCGATTCCAACTAAATCATAAAAAGTAAGTGTTTGTCAGTTGCCTGACGCTGAACAGCAGTACTCCTGCCATGCGACGGCGGCCTGTTAACATATAGCTTGTACATGCTCGTCAGTACTACTGCCATGCGACGGCAGCCTGTTAACATATAGCTTGTACATGCTTGTCAGAACTCCTGCCATGGGACGGCGGCCTGTTAACATATAGCTTGTACATGCTTGTCAGAACTCCTGCCATGCGACGGCGGCCTGTTCACGTATAGCTTGTACATGCTTGTCAGAACTCCTGCCATGCGACGGCAGTCTGTTAACATATAGCTTGTACATGCTCGTCAGTACTCCTGCCATGCGACGGCAGCCTGTTAACATATAGCTTGTACATGCTTGTCAGAACTCCTGCCATGCGACGGCAGCCTGTTAACATATAGCTTGTACATGCTCGTCAGTACTCCTGCCATGCGACAGCGGCCTGTTAACATATAGCTTGTACATGCTCGTCAGTACTCCTGCCATGCGACAGCGGCCTGTTAACATATAGCTTGTACATGCTTGTCAGTACTCCTGCCATGTGACGGCAGCCTGTTAACATATAGCTTGTAAATGCTTGTCAGTACTCCTGCCATGCGACAGCGGCCTGTTAACATATAGCTTGTAAATGCTTGTCAGTACTCCTGCCATGCGACAGCGGCCTGTTAACATATAGCTTGTACATGCTCGTCAGTACTCCTGCCATGCGACAGCGGCCTGTTAACATATAGCTTGTACATGCTTGTCAGTACTCCTGCCATGCGACGGCGGCCTGTTAACATATAGCTTGTACATGCTTGTCAGTACTCCTGCCATGCGACAGCAGCCTGTTAACATATAGCTTGTACATGCTCGTCAGTACTCCTGCCATGCGACAGCGGCCTGTTAACATATAGCTTGTACATGCTCGTCAGTACTCCTGCCATGCGACGGCGGCCTGTTAACATACAGATTGTACATGCTTGTCAGTACTCCTGCCATTCGACAGCAGCCTGTTAACATATAGCTTGTAATGCTTGTCAGTACTCCTGCCATGCGACGGCGGCCTGTTAACATATAGCTTGTAAATGCTTGTCAGTACTCCTGCCATGCGACAGCGGCCTGTTAACATATAGCTTGTACATGCTCGTCAGTACTCCTGCCATGCGACGGCGGCCGTTTAACATATAGCTTGTAAATGCTTGTCAGTACTCCTGCCATGCGACAGCGGCCTGTTAACATATAGCTTGTACATGCTCGTCAGTACTCCTGCCATGCGACGGCGGCCTGTTAACATATAGCTTGTACATGCTTGTCAGTACTCCTGCCATGCGACAGCGGCCTGTTAACATATAGCTTGTACATGCTCGTCAGTACTCCTGCCATGCGACAGCGGCCTGTTAACATATAGCTTGTAAATGCTTGTCAGTACTCCTGCCATGCGACAGCGGCCTGTTAACATATAGCTTGTACATGCTCGTCAGTACTCCTGCCATTCGACAGCAGCCTGTTAACATATAGCTTGTAATGCTTGTCAGTACTCCTGCCATGCGACGGCGGCCTGTTAACATATAGCTTGTAAATGCTTGTCAGTACTCCTGCCATGCGACAGCGGCCTGTTAACATATAGCTTGTACATGCTCGTCAGTACTCCTGCCATTCGACAGCAGCCTGTTAACATATAGCTTGTAATGCTTGTCAGTACTCCTGCCATGCGACGGCGGCCTGTTAACATATAGCTTGTAAATGCTTGTCAGTACTCCTGCCATGCGACAGCGGCCTGTTAACATATAGCTTGTACATGCTCGTCAGTACTCCTGCCATGCGACAGCGGCCTGTTAACATATAGCTTGTACATGCTTGTCAGTACTCCTGCCATGCGACGGCGGCCTGTTAACATATAGCTTGTACATGCTTGTCAGTACTCCTGTCATGCGACAGCAGCCTGTTAACATATAGCTTGTACATGCTTGTCAGTACTCCTGCCATGCGACAGCAGCCTGTTA